CTTGGAGGCCTTCTAGTCCAACCCCCCCCCTCAAGCAGGTAGAATAGAATAGAATAGAATAGAATAGAATAGAATAGAATAGAATAGAATAGAATAGAATAGAATAGAATAGAATAGAATAGAAAATATGGAATGGAATAGAATAGAATAGAATAGAATAGAATAGAATAGAATAGAATAGAATAGAATAGAATAACAGAGTTGGAAGGGACCTTAGAGGTCTTCTAATCCACCCCGCCCAAGCAGGTAGAATAGAATAGAATAGAATAGAATAGAAATGGAATGGAATGGAATGGAATGGAATAGAATAGAATAGAATAGAATAGAATAGAATAGAATAGAATAGAATAGAATAGAATAGAATAGAATAGAATAGAATAGAATAGAATAACAGAGTTGGAAGGGACCTTAGAGGTCTTCTAATCCACCCCCCCCAAGCAGGTAGAATAGAATAGAATAGAATAGAATAGAATAGAATAGAATAGAATAGAATAGAATAGAATAGAATAGAATAGAATAGAATAGAAGAGCAGAGCAGAGCAGAGCAGAGCAGAGCAGAGCAGAGCAGAGTAGGGTGGGACCTTGAAGGTGGTCTAGTCCAACCCCTTGTTTAGGCAGGGAACCCTACACCACTTCAGACAAATGGTTATCCAACCTCTTCTTAAAAACTTCCAGTGTTGGAGCATTCACAACTTCTGGAGGCAAGTTGTTCCACTGATCATTGTTCTAACTGTCAGGAAATTTCTCCTTAGTTCTGAGTTGCTTCTCTCCTTGATTAGTTTCCACCCATTGCTTCTTGTCCTGCCCTTCAGGTGCTTTGATAGCCTTATACCATTTCAGACAAATGATTGTCCAACCTCTTCTTAAAAACCTCCAGTCTTCCACTGATTAATTGTTGACTTTGCTTGTCGGAAGTTCGCAAAAGGTCATACGTGTCCCTGGGACACTGCAACCGTCATAAATACGGGTCAGTTGCCAAGCGTCTGATTTTGATCCCATGATCGTGGGGATGCTGCAATGGTCATAAGGGTGAAAAATGGTCATCGGTCACTTTTTTCAATGCTGCTGTAACACTGAACAGTCACTAAATGAACCATGGTGGTAAGGTGAGAACCACCTGTATGGGCAATGATCAAAATACGTAAAATACTGTTAACATTTTAATCCAAGAAGTAAACACCACTGTTCCTCGGCAGACAATATGATTTAAATACATGAATATTACAGACTTTATGTCTTTACTTTAAGCTCAACCAGACCTGTCCTTCAGTAATATCTTTCCCTTTAAATAAGGTATATATGGAATGGGCATAATGTTTTGAATTTAGACCATCTCAAATCCAAAACGATCTGTTTTGAGGATGGAAGCAGTACTTGCAAACACGAAATATTTGTTGGGTATTTAAAGGTGGGCTACCCCCAATATTATGCAGAGATTTCAGACTTAAAAAACAAGTGTTTTAAATTCCAAATGGTTCAGATTTGCAATGATTTTTCCCCACCGTCTTTCAGCCTAAAGCTGTGATGGTGAATCTAGGGTATGCATGCCGGAAGTGGCACGCAGAGCCATCTCTCCGGGCACGCCAGCCGTCGCCCGCTGCTCTTCCGGGTTCTAGCCAGCTAGTGTTTGTGCATGCGGGAGTGCTGGAAAGTGGAAGAGTAGCTTCCTGGCACACAAGCGCACGCTGGGAAGCTGAGCTTCCAGTTTCCGGCACCCGCATATGCGCCAGCCAGCTGGTCTTCACGTGCACATGTGTGACAGAAACCGGAAGACCAGGTGACCGGCGTGCATGCGCACGCCAGAAACTGGAAACTCAGCCTCCCGGCACACATATTCACACCAGGGAGCTGCTCTTCCGGTTTTCCGGTGCTCTCCCACACGCACGCACGTGGTCCTGTTTCAGCACTCGGTGCCGAAAAGATTCGCCAACATTGGCCTTAAGGGTTATTTTATTGAGTATATTCAACCGCTAAACAGGACTGTAACTTAAATGTGGAATTATAGAGAGAGAATTGTAAGCCGCCCTGAGTCTCCGGAGAAGGGCGGCATATAAATCAAATTAAAAAAAAAAAAAGACACAATGTGGAGCGGTGCTTATTATCCATATTAAAAAGCTTACAACTTGGAATAAGAACAGAAGTCTCTTAATGATGATTCAGAAGCATAAGATATTTTAAAAATACTCCAACATATTGTCTATTTATTTATAAATAATATAGATCACTCATTCTCGCTTCTCTCATCTGAGGCACTTGAAATCAAGGCCACCTCTGAATAGAGCTGAGATGGCCTGATTTGTAGTCTCCACGGAAACGGTGTTGATAGATTTTTGGCTGTTGCTCACTTAGCTGTATTTCCTTTTCTGTTTCGCCCAGATAAACCGATCTTATAAAACTATAAATTTGCTTAGCCATTTGATCTTTAGATCTATTTTCTCTGAAGTAACCACTGTTCAAGCCTCAGTTTCAGAGGTGAAATGCTCCTGGTTCGGACCGGATC